TATCGTTAGAACATATCTACTAACAAGTATAAGGCAAAATTTTAAAATAAAATAAAATAAAATAAACTTATAAAACTTGAAAGGTGAAACCCAATATATGATATATATATATATATATATATATAAAGAGATAATGTAATATTTATCTTCTTTACAGTTGGTAGTCCTTTTGGGTGTCCCTTTGCCTTTAGGCTTTTAATGACAAGAGAATAGTGTTGCAGTGGCACCAACATACTCTCTCTCTCTCTCTCTCTTATATTTTTGAAGTTGTTAGGTACTTGAAGTTGAAGGAGACTAAGACTGGGATTAGATATTAGAGAGACAAAGTAGAACACATGAGAATCTGTTTTTATTTTTCTTTTTTTTTAATAGAATTTTATAGACAAATATGGGCCTTGGGATGAGTTATTTAAGTAAATTAAATTAATTAAATATTAATAAATAGTTAAATTGTTAAAATGGATAATGAATAATATAGATTATATTTGGATTTCTAAAATAGCCCATTTTTATTGTATCTTTTCTTATTTTATGTATTTTAACAATTAAAAATATAATATTTAAAATTTTAATAGTAATAATTAATAAATTAATAATATATATTCATTTTTTTTTCAAATCTCAAGGGGGCCACCGCCTCCCATAGTTTACAAGTGGCTTCGCCCCTAGTTATCTCTAGTGGAAGAGATTTTCCACATCAACAGTTAAGGTTGGTAAATATTAAATATGGTAATATCCTATCTTTTCACCTTACCATTTTCTACATTCAAACAATTCTTTTTTCTTTTTTACAAGCTAACTACACTTTATACTAATTTATCTTTCTATTGTTTTTCTCTATATCCAATGTTTTTCCTTTTATTGGGTTCATATACGTTCCATTTATGAATCTATACTTTTTTTTCAATTTTTTTTACTCCAATTTTATTCCATATAACTTTAATATTATTATAACATTCAATTTTGTTTGTAATCTCAACAACTCTAAATCCTAAAAGGAAGTTATATAATTTTTGTAATAATAAAAAATCAATAAGTTTTATTACTTAAATATTACTCTCTCCTTACTAGAATAATATATATTTTTTTGTTTTATCTTCAAATTAAGGATTTAGAAACAATTTCTATCCTTACTATTTTATACTTCAAAAATAACTAAGAATAAATATCTACTTTAATAAGAAGATAAATAATTAAAGTTAAGAGATAATCATAGGGTTAAAGTAGGAAAAAAAACTAGTTGTCTTCCTTAAAATAAGAAAAAGTGACTATTATTCTAGAACAAATTCTAAATAAAAAATATCTATTATTCTCGGATAGAGAAAGTATACTAATTTTTATAGGTGATGCTATTGAGACAACATTTTTATACCACTTTTCATACAACTTCCATATGTCATTAAATAAGTAGATGCATTTAATATCATAGGTCCCACATAAGTTAAAAAAACTAATCATTTTAATGATACGTCAGGTTATACAAAAAGATGGAACAAAAAAGTTATAAAAAAATCATTTCCCAATTTTTCTTGTTAGAGCATATCTACTAACAAGTATAAGATAAAATTTTAAAATAAAATAAAAGAAACTTTGAAAACTTAAAAGTTGAAACCCTATATATGATTCATATAAAAAGAGATAGTGTTATCTTTACCTTCTTTATAGTTAGTGCTCTTTTTGGTGGTCCCTTTGCCTTCTGGTTTTCAATGACAAGAGAGTAGTGTTGCAGTGGCACTGATAGAGTCTCTTTTTTCATTTTTTTATTTGTTATTTTTGAAGTTCTTGGGTACTTGAGGTTGAGGGAGATTGGGACTGGGATTGAACATTGGAGAGACAGAGCAGAACACACGAGAATCTATATTTTTTTCTTTTTTTCTATAGAGTTCTGTAGACAATTGTGGGTCTTGGGATGGGTTATTTAAATAAATTAAATTAATTAAATAATAATAAATAGTTAAATTGTTAAAATAGATAATGGATGATATGAATCATATTTGGGCTCCTAAAATAACCCATTATTATTGGATCTTTTTTTATTTTATGTATTTTAACAATTAAAAGTACTATATTTAAAATTTTAATAGTAATAATTAATAAATTAATTATATACATCTTAACCCTTTTTTTTTTCAAATCCCAAGGGGGGCCACCACCCCCTGATCTACAAGTGGCTCCGCCCTTGGTTATCTTTAGTGGAAGAGATTCTCCACCTCCACGGGTGAGATTGGTAAATATGAAATATGATAACATTCTATTTTTTCACCTTGCTACTTTCTACATTCAAACAATTTGTTTCCTTTTTTACGAACTAACCACACTTTATATTAGCTTATCTTCCTGTTGCTTTTCTTTATATCTAAGATTTTTCCTTTTTCCTGGGTTCATATACGTTCCTTTTATGGAACTATACTTTTTTTTTTTAATTTTTTTACTCCAATTCTATTCCATATAATTTCAATATTATCATAATATTCAATTTTGTTTGTAATCTCAACAACTCTAAATTCTAAAAGGAAATTATATAATTTTTTGTGATAATAAAAAATCAATAAGTTCCATTACTTAAATATTACTACCTCCATTCTAGAATAGTAGATTTTTTTGTTTTATCTTAATATTAAAGATTTGGAAACAATTTCTATTTTTACCTATTTTATACTTAAAACATAATTAACAATAAATATCTACTTCAATCAGAAGATAAATAATTAAAGTGAAAAGATAATCATAGGGTTAAAGCAGAAAAACATTATCTATCTTCCTTAAAATAAGAAAAAGAGAGTATTATTATGGGACAAATTCTAAATAAAAAAAACATCTATTATTCTGGAATAGAAAGAGTATACTAATTTTTATTATTAGAATATATCTACTAATAAATATAAGACAAAATTTTAAAATAAAATAAAAGAAACTTATAAAACTTGAAAGTTAAAACCTAATATATGATTCAAATAAAAATAGATAGTGTTGTCTCTATCTGTTTTATAGTTGGTGGTCCCTTTGCCTTTAAGTTTTCAATAAGAAGAGAGTACTGTAGTGGCATTAGTGGAGTTTTTTTTTTTTTTAAGTTGTTGGGTATTTGAGGTTGAGAGAGATTGGGATTGGAACTGGACACAGGAGAGATAGAGTAGAACATACGAGATTCCCCTTTTTTTTTCTACAAAGTTTTGTAGACAATTGCGGGTCTTGGGATGTGTTATTAAATAAATTAAATAAATTAAATAATAATAAATTGTTAAATTGTTAAAATGAATAATGGATGATATGGATTATATTTGGATTCCTAAAATAGCCCACTATTATTGGATCTTTTCTTATGTTATATATTTTAACAATTAAAAATATAATATTTAAAATTTTAATAATAATAATTAATAAATTAATTAT